TCCAATTTAAACTTCCGTCGTCAATGGGCAACTTTAATGATTCTCTGACGAGTATTCGCAGGTATGTCAAGTTTTAGAGAAAAAGATTTCGCCTTACCGTGTCTAATCGACGAAACAGAGTACACTGTCTATGTCTTTTCGTTCCATTTTCTTGTGGAGTTGAAATGAAATTTCAACTGAAATTTGAATTTCGTATATATCTGCTTGTCGTGGCACTGATTGAAGAATAACACAGCCTTTGAAGTAAAGCTACAGGAAGTTAATGCGGCGCGCAAGGAACTTCAATACTTATGTACAGTTTCACAACCAGAAACTTCGTTATTGCGTAAAAAGATCCGTAATTGGAAATTCCGAACCTTCTCATTCTATCTCGTGGAACAAAGGACAGTTGTATAATGAAGTTTTCCCTAAATTTAAGGAAAACGGAAGTATCGCTTGATTAAACGTTTACTTTATCAGTTGGAAGACTTATAATTTAAACATTAAATTCAATGAAGAATAAAGAGTCGAATCATTTATAGCTCTAAGAATTAACACAAGAATAAAAACATTAGAATAAAATAAAATTAAAATTAAATAATCTGAAATAGAATAAACAGGTAATGAAGAAATGGGAAATAAGATTTTTGTGAACGGAAGAACACAAATTTTTATTTTTAGTTTTATGTTTGATGTATTTATAACTACGAATCTTTTTTATGGAACCAGTTCTTTCAGAGTTAATACTTTGTTGTAAAGAACCACTTGCTGCATTGATTAATGCAAAAAGACATGGTACTTACGTACTATACGGAATACCTTTGATTTTAAGAAATAAAATAGTAATAATAATAGCAATAACACTGATAATATTACTAATAATAATAAATAAATAATAACAATAACAATAATAATAATAATAATAATAATAATAATAATAATGACAATAATGACAATAATGATAATAATAATAATGATAAAATGTTATAATACTAAATAAATACTAATCTATATATAAAGAAATACATAATTATACCTAAAAAAATATCTCCGACATACGACTATCTACAGACAAATTAATAAATGTATAAAATTGAATTTAAAACATTTTTTAAATAACGAACATAAGCTTACAAACTTTATGAAATTCCGATTAAAAGATCCATTAACCCTGTGCAATTTTGGACCAAACAGGAATTTCACGAGTGTGATATCGGTCGCTATAATTATGGCCTAGATTTTGGCCGATTTAATGGTACTGCAAAGGCTTAACAATACTACAAATACAAATTAAATATCCTATTAATTTGCCAATAACAATTCGTCGGCTGCCAATGAGATTTAGGGAAGCTAAAAATTGGACACTCCTACCGTAGGAGGATCGTACATTAATAAAAATATCTTCCGCGATGGTGGCCAAAAAGGCGCGACCCATCAATCAGCAAGCAGATTCAGCGAGTGGTCCCGCTTTTGAGGTGGCGTACTCGTTGCGATGTAAATGAAAATCGACGAGTCCGAACACGGCTATCCCGGTATCGGGAAAACGCGGAATTTGCCCGATGAAAACTCCAGGATCCCGTGGATCGTTAAAGACGGCCGGGCTCGAAGTTTGCGGGACCGGTTCCGTGGAGGCAGGCCGTCCGAAACTTATCCTATTACGAGTTTCTCGGTAAGAGGGGCACGGTCTTGGTCGGGTAACCGGGCGTTCCTGCAAGGCATCGGCAATCTTCAGGGAGAAAGAGTGGGAAAGAGAGTGAGACGCGAAGAAAGTGAGACAGAGAGAGGGGGAGCACGTCGAATTAACACCGGGCGACGCAAACTCGAGCGATAACCTGTGCTTCCATCCTGGGACGGAACACGAAGGACGCAGCCTCAAAGCAAGACACGAAGGCACAAGTGACCCCCAACCCCCGTTCTCACACCGAAAACTGCTTGTCAGGGCTTTGGTCGAGAGGAATTCCTTCTCGCGAATGAACTTGAACGCCTCATACGAACTTCCCGGCGCTTCTGCTGATGAAGAGCTATCCCGGTGACCCTACGTAATTGAAAAACGAGGCGCCGCACAGTGGACAAAACCCAAAAGATCGACTACAGTATTCTTTCGATTAGTAGTCGCTACGATTTGTAAGATTGGTACTCGGTAGTCGTCCCTACCAGTGAGGACCGAGTCTCCTCGACAAGTCAAGAAGTTCGTTGGTTGAGCAGTTGTTATACGATACGCTGTTTAGTAGGATAAATACCGATGAGACCAATTAATGCAACTGTAAAATCTTTTTATGAGGGACATTCTGTAAATGAGTCTTTTACTAACTCGTTTGTGAGATTCTTTTGATTAAAATAGGACCAAACATGACATACTTTAAGTCACAATTTACTAGAAGAAAATAGATTATTATAATTTATTAAATAAGTAAATATGTTCTAAAATATATCGTGTTTGGTCTCGTTTCGAATCAATATTACTGCACGATTAGTGCTCGGTCAAAGTCCCGATTTTTAAGGTATTATCTGGAATTAATACTATTTCAAATTAAAAGATTATGTGTAATAGGTTCTATTAAAAAAACTCAACATAATGCTCATATTGCAATTAAAAAATAAAATAGTAAAAAAACTAATAATTACATTGCTGCTCCCTTTTATACTAACTTTAAAAACACAATTTTTATTCGGAACGTTGTTTCATATAACGAAGAGTATATACATAATTTAAACACATAGAATAAAATTACTCTGTACTTAAAATGAAAGAAAGTTAATCGCTATTGTAACTACTTATCATTTTATTGCTATGGATTATAACTTAGTATAGTGTTTTACTAGACAGTTATTATTGCCGTTAATGTTATTGTTGTTATTATTTCAAATTTCATTAAACAAATGGTTCATTATTATTTAATGTTTTATCACAAAATGATGAACACATTTGTATCATTTTAGTAAATTAATAGACTTAATAATGAAATTAAGTACTTTAATATTAATTATTATAATAGCTGTATAATATTATTATAAAATGTTATTATTTATTGGATCAGTATTAGGGGCAAATAAGATTTAATGGAATTTAATTTTTCTCAATGTCGAAAGGATATTAACTATTACAAATTCTAAATTCATTTTCATACAGCTATAAAGGGTGGCAGAACCATCTATTTTCTTATTTCTGCTTGCTTATGCTCGGAAATTTCAAATTCGCAAAGTAGAATTATGTCAAGGCTCGCACATTTATCACGATAATTAATCAAATGTAGGCGTCGTGCCGCAGTTGTTACTTTAATCCTGAAATATGAGCTTCCTCTTCCTTTAACGTTGAATAAATAATTTCTTATTGACAGTTTTATTGGAAAACTTTGTTTTTCCATTATTCCGCGGCAGTGATATAAGAAATTTGCAATTATTAGTAAGTTGAATTAATTTGTTTCTGTAAGTTTTAAATTATGCAATGATTTAATTTGTTTCACAAATAGAATAATTATAAGATGCATTTCATCTTTTAAACCGTCTGTGAATCCCTCCTTATCTTATTCTGTATGTTTTATTATTTTTCAATAATATTGAACGTGATAAGATATTATAATAAAATTTCTTAATAACAGAAATAGATGTTTTCCTCTATGTTACTTATTGACTTATTTAAAATTGTTGACTTTGAAATCTTAATTCGAATATATATGTATTAACTAATAAATTATATATACACTAAAAGATCGTGTAAAAAATATAGCGCACCTTTTCGCTAGAAAAGTTCATGTTTTTGAAGAAAAAAATATAGGGAATACAACTGAACTAATTTATGTTACAACACAATAAGCAGTGACTTAATTCTTTTACTTACTAAGTCCGCTTTGTAGGCAAATGACTTCAGTAAGTGTTTAATTAAGTAGTAAGATCAACATTCATTAGTACAATACGTAAGGTAAATAAATACGTATTACGCTAATGTACTTATTAAACAGCAAATTTACTGTTGGAAATTACTCCTCACTCCATGATAATCTGGTTTAAAGCATAAATTATTTTCTTACTAACGATAAATCTTATCAACGTAATTGTGAAAATATTGCATGCTGTGTTAAATCCAATACTTATAAATCTACAGATAACGGATCGTAAAACAGGGTTTTCCACATAAACTGATGCAATGTATACTTAAATACCTTTAACATTTTTTATATTGACCATAAAATTTGTTACCATTCTTGATCAAGAAATTTTGAAATTTCTTAAAACTTCACCCACAAAATATTAAATTACGTATTAAAGTCATAATTACTAGAAAAGAAAAAAAATCACATATCAACCTCTTACTGCTTAAATAACTAAATTATTCATTTTCAATTTTCGATGCCATATATGAAAGCTCAAAGTCGCCATTACAGCCGTATTCCACCGTTAAGAGTTAATTGGACAAATACCTGACGTCAACATTAACTCTTTGTCAGATGATTTATTTTTTAACTATAATCGATGCAACTACTTTATCATTAATAATTCATTAAGAAAAGAAACAATTCCGATGCTTATTCTATGTCTATGTTTACTCAAAATGGTAACGATTAATAACAGAAAATTAATATTTAATGCAGATTTAAAAAAAATAAATAACACTTAGATTTGACAAATTCAGTTTAAAATTTTCCTCACGAGACTGACACAATATTCTGTTCAAGGGCTTAATGTTTAATTATGGACGTATGGTCTCATAAATGTCTATATAAAATATCGGAAATTTTGAAACCAGTGATTTCGTTATATAGTTGATACTATTGCTATGTAAAATATATAAATTATAAATTTGTTTATTAGTTACTACAAAAGAGAATATCTAACGTTAATCGTTAACTTCCACACTGAAAGGTTAAGAATCCGGTAAACCTAGGATCGCACTTAGGATAGTAGATTAGAATCAGATTAATCGAATGTAACATTAGAATTTCGCCAGAAAATTCCCTTCCGCCGAATTTACTGGCGCCGCTCCCCAAGGGATCAGTCGCTGATCTTCCTGTTTGTTGTTGCAGAAAAATCGCTCTAGTCATTATCCTCACCAGAGCCGGCCTGGATTTGGATCCAAATGCCCTGAAGAGGTTGAAAGTCACCGTACCGAAACTCGGTCTAATTCCATGGGTCGTCGAGACGCTTGTGGTAGCTACGCTGACAAAATATCTGCTTGGTTTGCCCTGGATATGGGGTTTTCTGCTCGGCAGCATAATAGCCGCCGTTTCACCAGCTGTCGTGGTCCCTTGTCTCTTCAGGTTGCGCGGCAAGGGTTACGGAGTTGCCAAGGTGAGATTAAACGATCACTTCAAACATTTCCGGCTCGGTTCTCTACTTTATTATACGACCAAACCGTTGACTCGGTACATCAACTTTCACTTACGAACTCGGCGTTAGCTTAGGAACTCCTGGGAATGAAAAAAAATACTGGGTTGATGGGTAAGTAGAGTAAGACTCGATTAACCTCTTGCCCTACGATTTTTTGCTCAACTATAATAAATACATCTATGTACTTTGTTATTCACATAAAAAGATAACAATTCTGGGCATATTCCATGTCTATGTTTGCTCTGAACTATAATAATTGATAATAGAAGAAGAATATTCAATTTGTAATCACAAAAATTGAGTAATATTTATGTTTGTTAAATTCTGTTTAAAATCTTCAGCACAAGTCTGACATGATAATCTAAAGTAAGGGGTCAAAGATCCCAGTTAACCCTTTTGTATAGATACAGTCTGTCTGATTAAAACGTGTTCAGGTTTTAGAATAGAAAAGTTTTGTATTTTAGTTTTATAACGCCTCAATATATTTTTTACATTTATAACTACATAAAATGGAAGTAGATTAATAACATTACATAGTTTACAAAATTTAACTTTCTATTTGTTACGGAAGGCTTAATGGGTGATCTTAATAATACTTCTCATGCTGAATTCGAATATGCAATCCGTCTTTCTTCATCGTCCATAGTATTTGAGAAAATCATTTTTGAAAAAACATTTCAAGTTTTTAAATTTGCGCATTTGTTGTGCCTTAATTATGAAAATTTTTACAACTTCTTTTGCACAGTATTATTCTGTAGACCTTCCTGAACACAATGACGTTAATTTTAATGACACTATAAACATTTAAATACGTTTAGAAACACGCGTTGACATTGAACATCATTGTCGATACCTTAAGTTTTGCGCAAATATTTTTCAGTCTCAACTGAAAACGAAATGTATTGCAGAATTTTTCTCAGCGGATTTCCCAAGGTGGATATCTGCTTCTTCGCTTGCTGACATTAGATTTTCTCCTAGATGCTTAGTTTTTAAGATAAATTGGCAAATATCCATAGAAATCGGTGCGTTTCGGGTGCCATTTTGCCTTTCAGCATTGTTTAAACATACTTAAATGTTTAAAATCTCATTAAAATTGGCATCTGTATGTTCAGGAAGGTCTATAAAATAATACTCTGTAAGAAAAGTTTGAAAAATGTTCATAATTAAGGCACAACAAATGCTCAAAGTTAATAAATTGAGATTTTTTTTCAAAATTGATTTTCTCAAAAACTGTACTCTATACATAAAAAGCTATGTTTTCGGTTACATTGGATGCAGTGTTTTAAATATTATTTCATGTATCCAGCAACATTTATTAACTATATGCTTTGTACGTTTGTATCAAATTGCATAATTGCTGGTACGAAAAAGTTTAAAGGTATGGATCGCTCTGAGATGTTAAAAAATAGACACCGTTTGAGAATTTTCTTTCTTTATAGATAATTACTAAGTATGGAAGTTCAACCCTTTTCGAATATATAGATGGGCCGTCGAGCTTCATATTTCAATTTTTAATTAAGTCAATACGTTATAGCATAACAGAGTTTTTCACTATTTCAGAAAGTGTTTAAATTTATAAATTAAATTTTTTTATTAAAAAAATAATGGATTTTTTTTAATCAACGATATGTTCACTGTTATTTGTTCATTATATATTCAGTCGAGGTTGGTCACTCAAAAAGTATAAATCTCTATCTAGTGATGGTGAAACATTTTTATGTATCAGCTTCTCAATTGATCAACTGATTTTTTAATTTCGTTGAATTTTCATTTTAGTCATCCCATGAGTGAAATCAATTTGCGCACACATGACGTCGTACGACTCGAACGCGCGGGTTTTAATGAAACTTGGCACACGCGTAGAGCATCGAAAAATATTCGATGGTTATTTTTTTTACAGCCGCCTCTATTCATGTTTACGTGATGAAAGTAGCCTCTAACGGCCAACATTGTATACTTATTTCATGATATATCTTGCGAACTAATGAACGTTGGAAACACCGTTGAATTAAAAAATTGTTAGTCTTTTTACGTGAAATGGAACCACGTAAGTAAAATATTTAAAAAGTAAAAATAGAATTGTTTTTACAGAGCATCTCATTCTACAGTATTTAAAACATTTTTTTCATTTATGTTAATGTAGATTTTAATATGTTCAAATAATGTTTCGCGATTTATAGAAGACAAATTATGAAAACGGTATCTTTACAAATTGTCATGCAATATTATCAATAATTCAAAGTTCAATTGTGAACAGAATAACGCATAATTAGAACTCACAGCCAAATAATTAAATTATATCTGGTACAGAATAAATATTTCCGACTGCTTCATACTACATATTACATTTCGTGTATCTCAGTGCGTTTGAATACATTACCATGTTTGTTACTGACATGCATTATGAGCTGCAGTAAAAAGAATAAATCTGAATGCCTATGAAAATCACCGTATGTTGTAAACGTGCAACCGTGCGCACCGTATACATTCTATTGTATACCTATGGATAATACATAAGTCGATAGTTCATTATTTAAAATAAATCCACATGGCTAATTTTAGAAGAAAATGTTGCATTTGATTACTTGTAAAGTATTCGATTAATTATAACATTTTTATTGGTTTTCAAAATGTCTCATAAAACGTGTTTCTCATTTCATTTCGGAGGTTATTTAGAGATGATTAAAAATCATCGGATTAAATATTTTTGAATGATATACTTTTGCTTAAAATTTTATTATTACTTTACTTGTTACTATTATACTAGATATACAGTTGATTTGTACTGCTTTTAGTGTTATTTTCATTTTTATTATATGCATAAGCATTATAGTATTATAACATTCTATATTATAGTCCAAAATAAGGTAAACGCTTAAAACTGAAGAATTCTTCTTCGCATATATTATATAATAATAATAAATAATAATGAAAGATAATATTATCAGATAATATTAATCAGAAAATTAATATCAATATTTAAAAAGGTTTTCCTTAAGATATTCATAATTTGAAACTCTTGAATCCAAAAAATAAGTTGAAATAATAATAAATAATATTCATAAATAAACATAATTATAAGTATATATTCATGCATAACATAAACATTAAAACATCATTAGCAACAATAGAATTGAATATACTTTTCTCGATAAAATTTCGAAGATATATGTTCGATGAGTTTACTTATAATAATCAACTCAATTGCTTCGATCAAACGAAAAGTGAGAGACTATTATTTAAATAAAATTCCGGGCCGTCTATCAAAAGCAGATTGTTCCATTTTCACGAGTTTCGCAACACGATTAGGTTCACAAAGAGGGAGTTCCCTTTGCTTTAACTTTGTTTCAAATTTTTCCAGCGTTTCGCTACTGACAATTAACCCTTCAAGCAAACGCGAAATTACAGGGACAGGGTAAACCGGTGTTCAAAAGAAATTTAATTAGTGTCGCGCCGCTTTCGGTAACTTTCACGGCGGCATGCGTCCTGCGCGTGTCGCGGTATGACGAACAGATGCAACTTCGCTGCATTACTTACGAATGCATCCCAGGAGAAGTGAAAGGATCGTGGTTTGGAAGGACTTAATTCGACACGTGAAATTCACCGTCTGCCGAGCCCCGGTTCTGTCAACCAATCCACTTGAATCGTTCCAAATACTTCCAAACAATTCGAATCAGTGTCCGACAAATGTTTCAGTGAAATAAATCATCGAGAACTTCTGCGGAACAATGTAAATCCTCGAAATGTTAACACAATCACTGCCACGGTACTAAATTGCTTGAAAACAATTGCAATAAGAGAACTGGTATCGAATAAAAATATTTATAAATAAAAGTAACTAAATAGTAATGTAACGTATGAACTATTATTAATAATTTAGCATCACAATTCTTACGTTACATTATCATTTAGTTACTTCGTTGCTATATATTTGTATTATCTATTTTTTATTGTCCATAACAATGATAAACGATATTAAAAATTGTGATACTAAATTATTAATAATAATTTCAATTGCCAAACAACGATTTTATCGAATAATTGTATTAAGAACAATATTTAAGATGCACAAGAAGTTTTTGTACTCAAAACGTTCATAAAATTCTCCGCATTATTTTTTAACTGACTGTCACGAGAATTTTTAGTAATATCCATAAAATGACTTATTCTTTTATAACAAAGACTAAGGATATTGGAAATTATGATATTGAATTATTAATAATAATTATAATAATAGAAATCATTAATAATAATTTAGTATCACAATTTCTAATATTGTTTGCCTTTGTTATAAACGAATGTTGTTATGGAAATCATTAAAAATTCTCGAGACAGTCAGTTACCAAATTTTACAGAGAATGTTATGAATATGTTATATACAAGAATTTCTTGTGTTGTTTTAAGATTATTTTTAATTTAACTATTCGATAAAATCGTTGTTTGTCAATATCAGTACAGTGTATCGAATTTAAAATAATTTGTAATAATATCAATTACAACGACGGAAGGGAAAAATACAATACCAAAGTAATCTAATTGACATTTTTGTTTCAATGCAATTTGAACAAAATATTATCAGTTCTTGTAGGGAAACAGAAATCATAAACAATTTATAATGAAACTATAAAGCACTTATCTACATACTTACATCGTCTTTTATTTTATTTTTGTACATACAATAAATTTCATTGATCGAATTTCATTACTCTGAGGATCAGTCTAATGAATGCATGACTTTTTCAACCAAATGCTATCGGCCATTGCTATTAACAAATGTTTCATAAAAACTAATTTTATTGTTTTCAAGTTATTAAACAGACTTCAATACACTTCAAGATCAATATCCCATCGAAGAAAAATGCTAGGACGTGAAATATTTAGAAGTATAATCCTTGAAAATCATGAACTTTTAGTTCAGGACTGATAGAATATTTTCATCGCAAATGCCACATGTCGTACGA